CCGCTTTCTCTGCTGAAGGATATGTGTGATAGGACCAAACACCAATACATCATCCGCACTGCCTGAGAAAAGAGTTAAACATAAGGGTGGGGGTACGATAAGGATCAACTCTAAGCTCGTTCTCCTCCCTGTTAACACAAGACGTCATTGTGGACTGATAATAACCGACTGTAGGAGATGTATTATATTATGCCCGCTCCCTTGCTCTAGTTGAAGATGGTAACGAAGATGTTCAAAAAAGTGCAGAAACGATAGGAAGAGCTGACAGATGATGGGCTCTCACTGAACGTATGGCTCTGAATAAGGTACATATCGTGAACGGCTGCGAGAAAAGCATAAGTGGCGATTCGTGGGCAGGCAGTATGCGGATCAACCTAGCGATTAAGTGGGCGAAGACCGCTGGAGTTCTCTGGAGTTCCCCCCGAAATAAAATTAAAATCGGCTGGCAGCTGTACACTGCACAAAGTCAGATACGACGACGTCAGATATGATGATTCAAACTACTTTAGCTAAAGATGTGAGAACAAGTGATATTGTGGGCACACCGTCTAACAGCAACTGTGCACTCTGCTACCGCATTTATTATTGCTACTTGGCATTCGCCAGGTTTCGATATTTTTGTTTAGGCCTCTGAGCGCTGAACCTAGAAATATCTATTGGCCTTCTCTTTCGATGAAAACAAAACAATTTCCGATTTTGCGCCGCCTTTGGTTTTCACTCTTAGTTCTAATCCACCCATTCGGTTGTTGGAAGCGCCAGAATCAAATACCTTTTTTGAAGAAATTAGCCGCTATGGCATTATTTGTAAAAAAAACACGGTGATTCGTCCCATCTTACCTGTAGATAACGGTTTAACTGCTCGCACGTCGGTGGCAAAATACGCCTCAGCCATCCAAAAATTTCATGTTCATGACTGGACGCGCTATGACGAGGAAGAGCCTTCAACCAAACTGGAAGTGGATCAAGCAGTTCTGAAAGTAGGGCCGTTGAGTTGTTCTGAAACTTTACAAGGAAAAGGTACAAACGAAAGGAAAATGGCAACCGCACGAATTCCTCCATCTGGCGGTCGGCTCGGAGGTTTACAAATGCGCTCAGGTTATCGGACATAGCGCATTCTTATGACCATTTCTTCGGATCGAGGCAGCCCTTCCTGGCTGGGGCATGACATCATCTTTTAAGAAAATGATCTAATGAATTAATCACTTTAGAATTGCAATCGCGTTATCGTAGCCATATCGTCAACTTGCCAAAAATAACGGAAATTTCGTGAGAAATGATTGCACAGTTTGATTGAACGTGCTCCCTATTAGAACGATTTTTTGAACAAGAGAAATACGAAATACGGTTCACCACTTTGAATGGGCTACCTCTTATGTTAGTGTCCTTGGTAATGCCATGCCTCATGTCTTTCTGTGATGATCTGTCCGTCCGTTTACAAGGTAAAATGATAAAACACTCAATGGCATAAACCAACTGCAAACCAAACTAAGGAGCTTGTAAGTTTTGCAGTATCAGCATTTTATGATGGCCTTACACTGATAACGCTTCGACGGCTTTACAACGAAATCCACTGAGCCCCCTTTATTTGGCCATTTTGCTGTGCTCAAAATTGGGCCTTCGCGGCTGATACAAAATTTCTTTCGTCCTTGTTATCTTTTGTAGATTGAAGGCGTTCTCAATGGAGGAACTTCCAGGATGGAATTTATCCATGTGCTGCTTCTGCTTTCAGCTTGAGATTAGCCTCATTCTCCCAACCTTTTCCTATTCGTATTGTGGACAAAGGCAAGATGGCCGATATTTATTCAGCACATGAGCGGTCATCAAAATATATTTTGTCTTCATACCATGGGCCACGCAGCAATATTTGCTAATTCCTTTCTCAGTCATATCAGTGTATACATGGAGAATGGCCTAAATGTATTCAGCACATGAGCAACTATTAAAATTCAATCTCCATCTTACGGTAGGAAGACATTTTGGTCTGCTCTGTCGGAATGTCCTCGATTTCTACGTAAGAAACATTTTCGCTCTTGTACCGTTTATATTGTTGTTTATAAGGAAAATTGGAAGAGATGCGGAAAAGACTGAATACGGATCAAAGAAGAGAAACCAAGAGAAAGGTAGAATAGAAATTGAGAGCAAAACTCGCGAAAAAGTGGATACACACCAATTTGATTGATTCCGTCAGACTGTAGGCTAGAGAAATAGAGAATCCTCGGAATGAGAAATTACCACTCGTTGGAGTCGGACCTTTTCACAAATACACTACTTCTCCGTCTTTCCATTTAGTGGTAGATGCCTACTATGTGTACTGTCCAACGAACTTCTTCGAGATTTTTCGACATCACATCGATTAATGATGTTCTAGGAATCCCGTTTGCCACCTACCCTCGCAACCACATTGTGGTAGCAGTGGTTAAAGTCGGTGAATCTTTAGAAGGCCAATGAATTGCTGACAAGAGTTGGAGTTCTGTTGCTAGCATATCCGTTGCCTTAGTAATAGAGCAGTCACCTGACTAAAACATTATCGAAGCCCAAAAGTAGGAGCTATCAAGGTCGCAGCAACAAAAAAGCTGAAAATTTCGGAGGAAAACATGTGCATTTTGAACAAACCTAAATAAATTAGATAGTACATTTATGTATTCGGCCAAGCTCAGTCCATGCTAGGTTTTTGCTACTTCAGGGTAGCTCCAGCAAAGAATTGTACCTATTGTACCTGATCAAATCAATTATTATGCATTTGACTCTTCCGTCGAATTGTAAGCTTTTAATAATAATTAGAAATTTACAGGGAAATGTATCCGCTGTGGGATATGCTTTTACTCGCATTGTATATAAATATAGTATTTATGTGTGTACCTACCTGAATGAAGGTAAACCTGATACTCCGTGGTCAAAAACTGGACGATATAATGTGGATGTGTCGTGTTTCAATAACACCTGCCGAAAGTAAGGATAAATGCTGGAAAATGAAGTCAATAATCGGAATTTTCCACAGACTATTTGATACAAAATACCTAACCACTACTTTTGAGAGAGATTTCCCTTTCAGAAATGAAATTTTTCTATCCTCACGAAGAAAGTAGGCTATGGTATCATCTTCTGTTGAGGAATTAGGCAAGATTTTTAGTGAGCGATTCTTTTAAATTCAATGAAACGGTCGTAATATATATGGCGCGAAGTAGATATACTGCGTTTCTGTAATATATATAGGTCAAGAAAAAGATTTTGCTGTGCCAAACTTTGGGAACGCTTTGAGAAAGCTTGGCGATAATCAGTAAACTACCTATGCAGAAAAAAACTAGACAGTGCTCTTCAAAGCGTTCTAAATCCCAACTAGGATTTTTTAAGATTAACTCTATCGTTTCACAAGGAAAGGTAAACTCATGAAAACGTTCGATTCTTATTACACATGAAAAGAAAACGGGTTATGGTAAACACGTTGATTCGATGTCGTACATGCCATGCCGTGTGGTAGAGAAAGAAAGTGAAGCCTACGTCAAGGCACGTATCAGAATCGGATAGCCGAGACAGCCGCGTAATTTATTGTTTTCATCTTGAAGGAAGTGGTCACGATAATTCTCATAGGGACGATAAGGAAAGCTGTGTACTGGAGTGGATAGGGGTCCTGCCCAATGTTAGAACACGTGAAGTTTCAGTGGCAGTTATCAACGGAGTGATAAGGCGCCGAAATCCACTTCCGTTCAGCAAAAACCAAGACTTATCGATGTGGAAAGGGGTGCGATAAGAGCGTGCTAGATATGATACCGTTATCGTTATCGTCCCGTTTTCATTCTGGAGTGCACCTCTTATCAAGCAGCCGCACCTTCTTATCTCATCGTATCATATCTTCCATGGGCTTACACTCGTCCAACAATTACTGCCTCACACCTTATCGATTGATAACGCGAGGGTAGCAAATCCAGCGTGGAAGCCAGCGTGATCGCTTCCTTTAAAATATGAAGTGGAGAGCGGTGAAAAGGAAAAGCCAGCGAGGGCCGAGGCTCGTTCATTACGAGGAGGCACAACTTCAACCCGCAAAGTAACCTAGGAGAGAGATTGACCAAGGTTGAGCCTGCGCCGCAATCGCACCCCACGGCAAGATAATTCCAGTAATATTGGTATTTTCCAGGCAGAGCTGGTTTAAATGGACATCCTGGGGATAGACACCTCTGCAGTGACTTGCGAAGGTGGCCGATTTTTCTCAACGCTCGCAATTTTAGTTAATGGGATGTGAAAAAATGTGGGTGCTTTTTGCAATGATGTTGTGTCAAAATTTCGCTTCCCACGAACTGCATAATGGACTCCAAAGATTAGCATAGAGCCTTGCGAGGACATTTGACCTCTTCCTTGAGCTGATGAAGTCGGCTAGCCTACGTAGGTCATACAGAACAGTACAGGTACCCATGTAGGTCATTCAACCAGAAGCAGCATTTCTCTCGAAACTCAGATGGAACCAAACAGATAACTCTAAAGTTTTATTTCTGTTTTAGTAGAATATCTCAGGGTTATCTTCTTCGTGAAGAGTCATGCGGATAAACGCCAGTTAGGAATTCAAAAGAGCTGTAACAAGCAACCCTTGAACACGGAAGTGAATCGATGGTCATCTGCCTTGGAATCTCAATTCCGGTAGGCCACGGAGACTATTCGGTGTTGCCCTTGATAAAGGAGGAACCATACATTATTATGTCTTTTTATCTGTCATTAATCTTAGGTAATTGTTCTTTTCTCAGGGTGACCTTATATTATGAAACGGTGCAAAAATCGAAAAATAATTACAAAAAAGTTCGAAGAAAAGCTGCTCTCCAAAATTGCGATACAGGGGTTATTCGTAGTGGGGAATCATTTGGTGATAGTGGAAAAATCACCAGTTGGCTGCTGGTTTCCGGAAATGCAATAATTTAGGGTGACCTTATAATTATGAAACGCACTATATTTACAAAACGTAGTCTTTCAATTCTTGTAGAGAAATTATTGGAACCATCTTAACTGAGTTCGTCATGAGATTCTTCAATATGGATCCACCTCGACAGGAGCCTTCCCCAACCAGAATGGGCGTTGATGCAATAGGAGAGCAACAAGGTAAGTCACAAATACATATATTAGTACCAACTAAGCAGATCCCAAGACCAATTCGAGGAAAGTGGAGAGAGGAGGTGTTCACGTTCGCATCAATGTAAATTTTCCTGCAATCATCGTGGCCAGCAATCAGTTTGCCATCAAAATTCTATCGACGTAAGAGCCGATATAAATGCACGAAGAGAAAACAGACCAGCACTTAGGGTCAAGGTTTTGTGGAAGATGTTGAAGCTTATAGCTGTCATTCTCCTCTTTCTTGTGTGGCTGAGGTGAGCATTCGTTTTCTTGAATAAATCTTTGCCAGCAACCTAACTCGCTAATTCTCGAACTAGCTGCTCAGATTTGCACGGATTTGTAAGAGCCCAATGATGAAGGTCAAATATTCTGAATTATTAGGGTGGTAAAAAAGTCCTGAGCCGTTTGACACTTTTTTGTTCTTTGCTTTTTTATTCCGCGTACAATGGAATCTACTAAACAATATAATCACCATTGTTACTCACTACAGAGTCCCACCTAATGGGCAGGTCAGCGACCCCTTCTCCCAGAACTGAGCAGACTGAGAGTCAAAGAAATCGCTGACCGCTCTTTCAACGTCTTCAACTTTGGTGAATTTTTTCTTCGCTAGGAATGCCTTGAGGGGAATGAAATAAGTGATAATCAGAGAGGGCAATGTCAGGGGAATAGGGTGGGTGGGGAACCGCGTCCCAGATCAGCTCTTCCAATTTTGCACGGGTCTCTTTAGCTATGTGGGGCCTGGCGTCATCGTGGAGTAGGTGGACAGAAGTTCGTCTCGGTCGTTTTTCTTGAACAGCGTCCGCTAGTTTCTGGAGCTGACTGGCGTAAATGCTGCCGGTAGCGGTATGTCTTTGCGGGAGCATCTCATAATACAGCATTCCTCACGAATCCCAGAGGTAGCAAAGAAGACAGTTTTTGGGGTGAAGGTCCGATTTTGCTTGTGTCGGCAGGCCTCTCCTTCGAGGGAGCCACACGGCACTGTGCTTGTTAGAATCGTAGAGACCCAACTCTCATCTCTCGTAATCATGCCTTCCAAAAACTCCTTTCGGTGCGGACAAAGAAGGAGAAACTGACAAATGGGTACCCGCCTGAACCGCGTGCTATCGGTCAAGACATGGGATCATCGAGTCGGCACTTTCCTGTGGCGATTCGAAAAGCCGTGTCTCCTCCTTCAGAAGCCTAGCGAACCAGAGCTTGGCACCGATGATGGAAGTGGTGTCCCTTCCCAGTGCGATGCTGATAATGTTGACGGTTCCACACTGCTCCTGTGCCGCAGCGCCATTCATTGAAGATGATCGCTCGAAAGTGCTCTTGTGGAATCGACATCATGATTAAAGTTAAAGAAGGCAACCCGGCTATATATACCTACTGCGGAGAAGTATGATCGACAGCGATAGTCTATCACGTAGCAGATTCTAGGTATCGATCAATAAGCGAAAGTTCTGGAGCTTTCGAAAAAATCGGCTCAGGACTTTCTTACCATCCCAAGTGTTAGTCATAAATGGTCAACCATTCATGTGTATTGTATAAGTGGAGAATTTCTTCATATTGCAAATTCTTTACATTTCATGCACACCGAAGCTGAATAGCGTTATAGAAAAGAGAAAGTCCGAAGAAACATCCGGATGACATTAGCAATCGACACGGTCCATTTTCTTTCAAAACACACAGCAAATGAATTTTTCGCTTCAGTCAAAATCAAATGTCTCCTCCACTCTAGTTTCCAGAACGCGCCAGAAAGCAATGGTTGCTGTAACCGATTTATGAAAATTTGTTTTACGCCAGTAAGAAAACTGAAAATCAGAGGGTGATACAAGAGGTTGACAGGCAGTGTATGAGGCTGCAGTAATTTCAGTCTAACTGCTTTCTACCCAAATACATGCAGTTATATGTAGATGAAGATCCCAATGTCAATTTGATTTCACTATGTTCTTCTTGGTATATATAGTACGGTACGGTAAAACAATGTTTTTGAGTGAAGCGAGTATAACACCAACAGAAGACACAACAAGCGCTGCTCCAGTGCGACAAGTTTTAAAAGAAGTGCCTTCAGCGAAACAAGAAGTGCCTTCAGTGAAACGAAGAATCAGAACGAAAAGGTAAGGTTTATAAAGGATAAAGGATAAAGCATTTGCCGTTGATCAATCCCTTTTTGGGATGCGGCACGCATTCTACTTCCATTTGTACATTCGTAGTGGCGTTTGAATGCGATGTGGCCTATACAATGACTTGCGGGGCCAGCCGATGTTCAAGTCAGTGTTTTTATCCTCCCAGACAAGTCTGGTACCAATTAACCGACCCCGGAGGGATGGAAGGCTTGGTTGGCCCGGGCGACTCACGACCCAGGATTTGATCCCCGGACCGCTCGCGTGGTAAGCGCGCCACTTGTCACTACACCACTTCCGCCCTTTTTTTTTATATTATTTATTTCTTATTCGTGGTTGACGTCACAACTGCTATTGTACACACCAGGGCTTTAAGTACTGTACAATCCCATTAAAATCTTGGTAATCCCTTTGCAGTACAAATAATTCTTGAATTTCAAGCTAAATAGGATACGATCTTCAAAGAAAAATTCCATGATTGCATTTCCAGTTGGGTGCATGTAAGATTGTGAAAAAAGCATTTGCTGTTCAAAGGCGAGCTCCGGGATGGAATGATCGGCTAGGGGCATCACTTATGAAGTTGAGGGAAGGCAGCGATCTAAAAAAGGAAATTAGGAGAAATGCTCGGTTACGCCCAAACAAATCACACACACCTTTCATCCAGCCGCATTCCACCTTGGTATAGGAGAAGGAAGGGATTCCTTCGGACGAGTTTCCACGAACGGATAGCTATAGGCCCTACCGTCACTTATTGACTCTAGACCACAAATCACACGGACACGGAAGCAGAGTCAACCCTGCGTTGCGCAGTTCTCAACGGCCACGTTGCGCAGTTTCGCCCGATTAGACACGTTCTCTCGCGCGAACATTCACACTCGCATGCTCGAGCCGTCTGTGTCTCCGCCCATACAGCGTGCGTTGAGGATCTCTCAACGTGCCGTTGCGAACTGCGCAACGCAGGGTTGACTCTGCACGGAAGTTTGGCGGCGAATGGTAATCCCGCTTTCTCTTCTCAAAATTCCTTCTTCTTATGCCAAAAAATGCAAAACTAAAACTCCTTGCTTTTTTTTTGAGGTCTAGACGACACTTTACACCGGCGAGTAGGATCGCCTCGCATTGACTCCGCAATCCAACACTGCAGCAGCTACGGCCGTGCTCTACACGCAGCACCAATGCGGCGGCGATGGCGTAAGGCAGGCTTGCGGATTAACCAGCGAGGTCGTTCAGAGGTGCCCGAGCTTTTTCGAAACGGTTTTTTGCGTGTGTAGGGGCACATGCAGGAACCACAGAACTATGATTTATTTTTGTCAAATGGCTTCCTGAATACCGGAAAAGGGTCGAAGAAAAATTACTTTGGGAACTATGGTTTTTACTGCTTCATTGTGGCGCATATCGACCACAGCGTTGGCTAATGTATTGAACGGTTGCACATATTAATCATTATCATAGGGTTCCCGCTACCCGTACATCGAAAACAAGGCGAAATTCGGGTAAAATGGTGCGTTTGTCCAAGCTCGCGATGGACTTCTGGTTGGGTCGGTGCGGTAAGGGATGTTGGTTCTAGTCCTTGCGGCGTGTGGTTGGTTTTTGGTTTACACTTCAGCCTGAGTGCAGGGATCCAATGCTCTAAGTTAGACCCCATATTCATGATGAGGGTCACAAATAACCCCACTAAGATGAGTTTTCTTCGACAACTGGGCGAAAAATGCCAAACTGAGCTGGCGTCAAAGAAGAATACCATCTTCGTGATCAGGGAGCTGATCTTAAGCCAACACCGGAGTTTTGGGGAAAATCGAGATTTTGGCTCGACTTCGAAAAATTGGACCACCTGTAGAGGCAAACTCGTCGTGTGTCCCCGACGCTTAGGAGCTCGGACGGGCTCCTCTAGGCCGTTCGGAGACACGTTTTTCGACAGCCGTAAAATACTATCCTCTCCGAAACTTCGGTGCATCACCAGTTTTTTGTTTAGGGGCTATTGGTAAGGTTGATGTTGATGGTTCAATTACGAACGTGGCGTCCAGCCTTGGCACTGACGTATTTTTGCGCAAAATCTGAAACGTCAAATGGAAATGCAGAAGTTTGTCACCGCAAGGAATCGAACCACTAACCCCTTAATCACCCTTTTTTTTAGGTATTCAGGGTCGTTTAGGAAAACGAATCACGGTTCTGTGAATTCCCGCACGTGCCCCTATGTCATGCAAGAAACCGTTTTGAAAAAGCTTGGCACACTCTGGACGGCCTCCCTGGTAACGAGGATTGCGGGTGGAGTGAGCTTTCAGCGCGTATTGCGCACTTTCAACCCGCAAATGGTGCACGACGTCGTCCCCGCTTGCGGGTGAGCTCACCTGGTCCCCGTGCGTGCCTTTGAGGGTCAGGCATTCTTCAAGTTTGTGTGAGCCATCCAACCCTCCCCTACCTCTTTATACGCCTAGTTAGCATCTCGTATCTTTATGGTACCACATGGTCCTCCGGCCAGAACCTCCCTTCCCTGCGTGAGCTTTTCGTTCCTCTTCCTCCCTTCCCCCTCCATTGCTCTCCAGCTACCACTGCAGCAACTTGTGAAATGACGGGATGAGCAAGCCCTGCAATCTACACAGATTAGTTAACGGCCTGTTTATTACTTCAGCTGCCTGATCACTCCTTCATTTTGCGGACGGATGATCAGACAAACTAACATATACATCGTAACTATGTCATGGTTGCCATAATTTGCAAATGTACATGCAAAGACATGTGCCTGATGTTACCTGAATGTGTGGAATATCTTAAAGAAATGAGTTGATGAACTGGACGTGCTTGCAAGCATTAGCCTCGGTTTCATCGTGGTCATCATCTACTTTCAGGATAGTGACCAGGGATGTTGTAACAGAACCAAGGCAAAAGAGACTTGTTCCCCGGTACCGACACAAGATCAGAGCAAGGGAGGTTCTCAATCTCGTCGCCATTGAAAAGCCAATAGAAACCATAGTCTCTGCTATGACTTACGGTTTGTTGAAAGGAGCACGCTCTTTCGATGTGCAAATGAGGAGTGGTGGAAGTGGACCACACCATTTCAAAATCGATGTTGCAAAGTGATGTGATATCTCAAAAAATCGAGAAAAGTCACTGTTCAAGCTTTCAATAAATATTGCAATAATAAAGGTTTGAACATTCTACAAGTGTAGACTTCAAGCGGCACACTTTACGTCGGCAATGTGTGGTTATGGGATGAAAGAGGAATTCCAAATTGTTATTAAGTAAAAAAAGAAAAGCCATCCTGGGATCAGAATATTTACAATGCACTTTGCTCAATATTGGTTGTTTCACTGCGCGGCGCAATGTGGCTCAGGGGGGGGGCACCAAGTAACATCGCGTCAAGGTCAAGGAACACTCAGTTTCAGGACTAAGCCTTCAAAGAGGGTAGGACTCTGGTGTGCGGAAGTGGTTTTCGTATTCTCCGGAGTTCGTCCCTGCTGCCTTGGCTTGGCCTTTTTATAAAGTGCTTTC